GATCAAAACTTTGTTGAAAACTAGCATAATCATCAACCAACTATAAATTAAAACAAGGGTCCGGCTGAAAAAGAGGTCCACCAACGGTTCTTTCCTATTTTCCCATTCATAAAAGCTCATGTTAGGACCAACCCTAACTCTAAACCCTACTACCCTTAGCAACCCAAAGACCAACCCTTAGATTACTACTAAGAATAGTGCATTAAGATTTGTGGAAAACATCACCGTAACAATCTTGCAGTAACACGAAGGTTATTTAACAAAATCAGTTTGAGAACCTTGATTAGCAAAAACCACTTAACGAGGCAGCCTAGGTTAATCAAGTGACACTTGGTTTCTAGAAAAGTTCGGCTATTTAAAGCACTTTGGACTTTAAAAGAATATAATTTTAAATTGGATTAGGTCGCGATCCTAATTTGACCCAACTTAAGTAAAATCAATTGAAATATAGTTCTCAAACACCTTTAATTTAATTTAACAGAAGCATAACTTGAATTATTTTAGAAGTATTAAACTTGAAGTAAAAATTTAAACCCATAGACAGATTTAATTTTAAACAACAGGATTCAATACTTCTCCAAAAATTCTGGTTTCATATGTTATTTTTTTGACAAAATTAGATCCTAAATAAGACAACAAAAATTACTTTGAAAGTTTGCTTCATTTAACTTACAACCAGCTTGTTTCTTTACTGCAACCTACTTTCAAACCAAGAAGAATTACTGTTAAAATTTGTCTCAAAAGTGCACAGCATTCCTTTAAAAATCCTAGCTTTAACCTTGAGGTTATCTCAAAATGAAGAAAAAACCTTACTGGGTGAATTCACCCAAATGGAAATCATGTTCCCAAGTAGTGAATAACCAACCGCAGCAAACTTTAAAATGAAACTCAGTAGCCTAAACTTGTAAATCAACATGGACTAAAGAAATGTCCAGGTGGTTCGAAGCTAGTTCTGCAAGGCTGGACTTAATCTTAAATAAAACTTTATCATAACCAGAAGCAAACCTTCAACAATAATCTTGACAATTCAAAAGAAACACTTTCAATTTGGGGACTAAAAACAGAAATAAAAAAAAAAGGAAAAAACTAATTGCACCAAAGTTCAACAAAAAAACTATAAAAATGAACACAAGAAAAGAACAGCGGGGGTTTCGGATGCAAGATCTGAACCCCCTAGGGTTATTACCCTTTGGTTTTAGCTCTGATTTTCTTCTTGATTGGTGGTGGTGATGATCTTCGCAGCCCTCCCTCAATTTATAGGTGCTCTTCGTCTCTTCCGTCTTCGATTAGGACTTCCTTGTGCGCTGCAATTCTTGCTGCGGTTTCTCCGGCTCCAGCTGTGCTTGAAGAAGCCGTCCCAACGTAGGAGAGGGAGTCTTCGGCTCTTCTATCTCACACGTATCTCTCTTTTTTTTTTCTCCTTTTTTACGCAGCTTTTCTCAACTTATGAGGTGGACCTCTGGGCTTTGTCATCTTGGGCCTGGATTTCCTTTGAGACCATAAGTCGGGGTAGAGCCCAACTTGATTGCTTTCAGATTTTCAGCCCACACTTCATGCTCAAAAGATATATCTAATAACTTTTGTCAAGGAGAATTTGGGTCCAAAACAATAATATTCAAAAATAAACTGAAAAGTGTACATTATGAACATATTTTATAAAAGATACCTAGAATGCAAATATAATCATTTATGTGTAAAAATGCACTTTTTAATGCCCAAAAATACTGATTTGGTAGAGAATAATTAGTGAATATTTTGGACTCAACAAATACCCCCACACTTAGCTTCTTGCACGCCCTCGTGCAAAGTAGATATAACAGACAGATTCTTATACTTTTACTTCTCAAAACTGAACTTGCTAGAGGTGTATGACCCTGTCAAAACTTAATATTGGCTCAACTTGACACAGAATCTTCCTTAAATTTCTAACAAGAATAGCCCAACCATTAACTTAAGAGAAATTTATTTAAACATTCAATTAGAAGACTTATTCAAGCAAAACTTGTTAAATCACTTAGATTGCTCCATGTTTAAAAACATTCCTTTCCCAAATCAGTAACATAATCAAGGATTAATTCTAAATGACATTCAATGAAACTATTCTTTCAAGGTCTTAAAGAAGAGAAAAAAAAGTGTTTTTTGAATAAGTCCCTTAAGGATGAAAAAATCAGCTAGAGTAAGGTAGAGTAGCTAGTAAAAAGAAAAAGAAAAGGAATTCGTGATCAATTTAGGAAGTCATCACTTACTTACTCAAGCGTTGTTTGGCCAAACATGGTGCACAACTAGGCTAAATCCTACATTAAGGCATGCTTCGTTGCACAGGCAATGCGGCTAAATGTCCCCAGGCCAGTTCAGATTTATTCAATGAAGTATATTTTTTTTT